GAAAGAGCAACAAGATGCTATTTATGTTACCTACGATGTGGAAAAAGCCCCAAACTCCACCCAGTCCAAGCTGGGACCCACCTCAGCTTCCTGCTTTTGCTAGGAAAATTAAGCAGCAGGATCCCATGGTCCGGAAAGCTTTATCATCCCCGGAGTCACAACGGAGCTGAACGTCTGTTTGGATACTAGGTGAGAGGTGAAATGTCACTGATGACTAGCATGATCCTTAGAAAACCAAGCAAAAAGAGGAGAGAAAAAAAAAAAAAAGGCGAGACTTTCTTTTTTTCCTGGTTCCCGAGCATCCCACATGCCCTGATCTAACTATGATTCCACAGGGAATCGCAGGCTGCAGGGGTGCATTAATGGGGAGCACAGTACGGAAGGACACCACGGCCAGTCTTTAAACACCAGCCCCAGACTGGCTGGAGCTACAGACCAGATTGTGCAGTAAAAAGAGGAATTAGTCCACGCATTCCAAAACGCGCTTATCGTTACAATAAAAATCTTCTGTCACTTTATTTAATAGCCTTATCAAGAAATAATTGCAATGTCTGGCTGCGTTTGACGACATGTGGTTTCAATTTTAATTGGTACAAACTGTTTCATAATGTTGAACAAAAAGCGCATCCAAATAATTATTCTATTTATTAATAATTCCTTTTGAGGACTGGATAAATTATATAACGTGTGGAACGCGCTTCAGTTACTGCCGTTTTAATGTATGAAGCTTAAAAGTGAAAAACTGCCCCAGAAGCAGCTCCCTTTGGAGGTCCTTGGAGCCCGCGGCTCCGAGCGAGGCGCCCGCCGCCCCCAGCTCCGTTTAGGTTCCATGCACTCAAGCCGTGGCCTTTTGGCCCCTTCCCGAATTAACTCCTGCGCGACCTCCGCTGCCTCTGCCCGTTAAACCGGCAGGCAAAATATCCCCTAATCCTGCAAACAAATACGGGATCTGGGGGTTGATCCAAGCAGAGCTACTGGAACTCGTGGTGCATGCGGTTCCGCAAAGGCCAAGTATATCCCATCTTCCTGGGGGGAAAAATGCAGGCACAGAGAGGTGAGCACAGGAAGAATCTATCCAGAAGGCTTTACCTCCTCCTGCACTTCAAAATGTGGTTCTGGATCCTCTCGTGGACCCTGCAACGAGCAGCATGAGGCTCTTTTGTGCAGCCCTTGCTGAAAGATCATGTCTTTACACCAAAGACAGAAAGGCGGCAAAATCCTGCTCCGCGCGACAGCCGGAATACTCCAAGAAATTGTACATTCCCCCCATTTCCAAGGAAATAAATCAAAGTGAGTTTCTCAGGGCTTGTGAAAGCAGAGTGCCTGGATTCCAATCCCCAAGGGTTTTCTTTCAAGAGCTTATATGGTAGTTAGATTTCTGGCTAGAGAATATGCAATATGATAAAAACACAGTCCCTATACAGAGCAATAAATTACAGATTGTTTGATGTGGAAACCAAAGAACTGTCAAACTCTAGTATATCTGAAATATTCTAAATGAGCCCTGAACTCCAGTGTCTGGAAATTTACAGTACGTTTGCAGGCCTTTCAATCTCGTGAAGCCATCTCCCCCACTTCATTTTCCTTTGATGGATTTTATTCCTATGGGGTCTCTTTTCCCTTCCTTCCCAAAGCCGTGTTCTTCTTCCTAGAGACAGTCCTACGATAAACAGCAGGTTTGTCTGTGCATAAAAAGGGACATGAGCTGGGCACTGGCTTAAACTCTGGAAGATCTTTCTCTGCCAATGACTTTCTGTGTGGTCAAGTTGCTTCTGAGCTTTGGCCACACACCTACAGAAAGGGGACAACATCTTCCTTGGCTCACCAGGGGGTTTTGCAGACAAATACAAGGTGCCCATTCCATGCACCTGTGCTAAAACTGGAGCCTCATCCGCATCCATCGGCCATCTACACCCTTGGGCAGAGGGGACCTCACTGGCCGGAGGGAAAAAAACTCACCTTGCACTTGACTTTTTGCTAGGGAAGCCACCAAAGCCACGGGGAGCTGAGGGACCTCCTGCTGGCACCAAGCAACCTTCCAACTACATCACAGTTCCACCAACAGGATGAGTGGAAACCTCCGAGCTAGAAACAGACCCCGTCCACCCTGGGAAATACAAGGTACGGAGCAATTCAAGCTCCTTTTCCTGAAGGTGACCCTTGGCCTCCCAGCTGAGATAACAACACTAATACTTATGGACGGGCCGTTTGTGCCTCTGGGCACAGAGCAAAAATAACTCAAATCACAACTTGGTAGACATCTAACAGAACTGAGGGGGAAAAAAAGAAAAATCGCAGTTCCAATATGGCCATAACAAACCAGCTCGCCCACTGCAGCACAAAAAATAGCACCACCCACAGCCCTGCCTTCAAATGCAGCAAAAACGGCCTGGAGTTTGATGTGATGAGGAGGCACCAGCGCGTGTGACTCACCCAGAAAGCACTGACCTGAGACAAGCATTCCTCAGACAGCGCGCTTTCCTCATTTATTTTAGCTTGATAAAAGGCGCCTACACAAAAATTAATAAAATCTGGGATTTTTTTTTTTTTACTTCTGTTTCAAGTTTTCTCTCCTCCTTTAAGTGTCTGCAGATTGCATTCTCGTGCACATATGAACCTCTCATTTCACACTGCAGAGGGTGCAAGGGAGTTTCTCCTCTGTGCATACGCTTCTCCAGCATGAACTGATCTGGGCACGCGAGTCCCCCACGCAACGCGTTCCTCAAGCTCGAGCAAGCTCCAAGGGTTGGAGCTGCAAGAACACACATCTCCCAGCAGCGTGAGCAGCCTGAAATAAATGGAAGCCAAGTCGTTAGCGAATTACAAACATTAACTAAATCCACGAGTAAACAGAAATGGAGTGGAACTAAAATTCCATGGAATAATTCCATGGTTCCTGAGTCTACCCACATCCATGAAACCTTAGATACAGCTCCTTCAACACAGTGACAAACTAGGAAGAATTCATGATATAAATGCTGCTAGGTCCATAACACACTACTCATCCCGTGGGTGATCCCGTTCAGAGCTCCGAGCGCTACAGAAGTCTCCAGAAGATGCTGGACACCTGAAAACCCTTAAAGGCCTCTGCCAGTTGGGCTTGGCAGGGAGGCCGCAGCACGGGAGCCCAGGGCACCGCGCAGACCCGCGGCCAGCACCTGAGACACAACGTAACTCACCCAGGAGCCTCCGCCCCATCTCCTCCGCGTTCCAGATGTGTTCCAGATGTGACGGAGATCGCCAGGCTTCAGCAGTAACACCACCACGGTGGGCTGCAACACCCCAAGTCACAAACTAGCCTCTCTGCAATTCTTTTCCTTGGACATGAGCCACTTGGCTATTGATCCTCCCCATGAACGGCTAGGTCCATATCTGATTTTCAAAAATCACTTTCCAACACCTCCTGAGGGCCATTAAATGCAAAACAACCACCTGTCCACCACAACACTGCGACACCTCTCCATCTCCAGTCGAACGTTGCAAAAGAACAAGGTGAGCAGCAATGGGACAGGGAGCCAGCCTATTCACCCCCATTTTGGTGTCGGAGGCAGCCGGCTGCTCTCAGCTGGGCTGTGTTTACCCAGGGTCTCCCCTCCACGGATGCCCCCGGCAGCCAGAACGGATCAGCACAGACCTAACCTGACCCGATCCGGCAGCCAGCATTTCCCAACCGCCTCGTGTCAGCGCTTCCGAGCGCGCTAATAACCACGGTCTGTTGCGTGCTGCTTTCTCACCACGAACGGCAAAATATCATTAGCGCCTGCAGGTTGCAGCCTGCCCTCCACCCCCCTTAACAGCGAGCTGATTATGCTTTTTTTATTATTATTATTTCCCCCCACCTTGTAATAATTACAGGCTGCTGGCAGCGCTCCACGACGGCCGGGACATGTGACAACGGGGTGGGATGTGCGTGGGGACCCGCGTGGCGGCTAACGAGGCATCCGGGCAGCACTATGAAACAGGCCCAGGAAAGCAGAGGTTGGCAGAAAAGTCACCATGTCAGCAACTTCGGGCAGACCAGACCCAGCACCCCTGGGCCAGGACGGGCAGCTCTGCTTCAACCTCAGCAAAAACCCCTCCAAAACGCTCCCGTTGGGGCCTTTCCGAGCAAGCTGCTTGGCCATGTTTGAAGCTTGTGGCTGGGGGGTTTGTCCCCACGACGCTGCGTTCCCGGGACGTGCAGAGGTCCAACCTCTCCAGCTACTGGAAAACAACCCTCTTTGGGGCTGGCGACCCAGGCTGGGAAGCGGAGCTTGCACGGTGAGCTGGGACGCTCTGCGTGTGCCTGGGAGCAGAGTCTGGATGAGCCCTAGGAACACGCGCGGAAGCCAGACGGATGCGGAAAGCACCTCCCCTCTGGAGCTGGCCCTGCGGCAACGAACCTGGTTGATGTGTTTCAGCTTGTCAATGATCTGGCTGATGACTGGCTCGGCACCTCTCATCTTCACCTCGTGGGTGCCAGGCTGGGCTTTCGCTCCATTCCTTGTGGTTTGGGGACCGTATCTGCAAGAGGGAGCAGAGGAGACCGTGATGTCACGGAGTAACACGCAGGAGATCTTTTAAGTTGGGGAGAAACCAAAGAAATCCAAAGGTAAGCAGCAGCCCCTTCCAAAATGGAGAGAGTAAAACAGTTAACAATAAAGAAGAAAAGGCAGAAGATTCCCATAAATATTCTGCTTTTGCAAAGAAGCAGGATGATGTAGTTGTATCACATGAGGACAATGAAGTCCTTTCCAGTCCATTAGTAACCAAGGAAGATGTTAAACAGTATACAACAGGGATAAATATTTTCACATAACTTGCACCCAAGAGTTCCAAAAAAGCTGGCTGAGATTCTGGCTCACTCATGTTTGTTTAAAATAAATCTTGGCAGATCGCAGAGACTCCAGTAAGAGACTGGTAGTGTTGCACCCACAGCCAAAAAAAATGAGTGGGATGACCCAGTTAACTACGTGCTGATTAGCATAGCACCAACCCCTTACAAAATAATGACTATCACTGATGTGCAATTTCAATAATAAAGAATTAAAGCATGAGAATATAATTAATGCTGTCAACATCGCTAATGGAAAATAGGTGTTGTCGAACAGGCCTGATTCCAGTCTTTGATGGGCTGCAGCGCGGGGATCAAAGCAGCTCTCGGGCAGACGGTGCGCGGCGCATGCTGCGGCGCTGGGCGCAGCTCCGCGCGTTCTCCCGGTTTCCAGGAGCGCCGCACGAGCCCATCAGGAGCTGGCTGGGATCACGAGCCCCTTCCCTGCAGGGGTCTTGCACCAAGCAGCCACTTCCCAGCGCTGCTCCCACGATGGGAGCAACGTTCTCCCATTTTCTCCATACATGTACCAGTGTCCTCACCTGAAATAGTCCTCCCATGCTTCCCAACAAGCTGGAGAACCATTTGTATTTCACTCAGAGCGCTGCCCGCTCGCTGCTGGGCTCCTGGCAGGCAGCACATACCTGAGCACACTCCCAGCCCGCAGAGTGGGAACGTGCACTGGGATTTCCCAGATCCTGACGGATCCTGAACACCGGGGCCAGCGCCCGCGCGGCCTCGGCACCACGCGCTGCCCCCGCTGCCGCCCGGCACGGCGGCCCTCCGGAGCCCCGCGGGGGTCCCGCGTCTCTCCCGGCTGGCTCATACTGGAAAA